TACTTGTTCCGCCTGCAACAATGCATTCATAGCATTCGTAGGATGGTTCGCTGCTTTCAATGAGAGGTGGTCACAAAGATCGGCAAAGTGACCCTGGCCCAACGTTGACTTCCCAGCCCTCTCATTGTTCGAGAAATGGCGCTAGGAACATTCTCTATCCTTCTTGTATAGAACACCTGCAAAGCATACCAGCCACGCGCTCTGGGGCCCCTTGCCAACTGATCAGGGAAATCCACAACTCCCGTCAGAAAGCGGCCATTTTGTTTGGGCAGTCGCCCGTGTTCACAAACGCTCCAAACAGCCGCCGAAGCGAAGAGAGCAACCGCCACTTCCAGCCGCCAAGCTTTGGGGATCTTGGGGGCGGCTTCCGGACCTCCGGCGAAAACCCAAAAGAACACACCAGGTGATTTGGGCATTCCTGTGTACTGTTCAACTTTACGTGAGGCACAGCTCCAATAGCGAGCATAAGAAATTGCTCAATCCCTTGGTTCGTGTAGAAATCTTAGACCTCGTCCCCATGTCCCTGCGAAATTGCCCACGCTTCCAGCCTCGCCCAGGGAACGCTCCCGTAGGCCCTTCTTGCCGGCCTGAGGCTGGGGGGGTTGCCCAGTGGGGGGGGTGCTGGGTGGTGTGCGGTGCGATACCAACGCCCAAGAAGGGCACCGAGCCTCCAACTGTGGCACATCTCATCTCTCTCACCTCTCTCAGCTCTCTCACCTCTCTCAGCTCTCAGGCGCGGGCCAGCACCTTGTCGAGGCGCTCCTGGACTTTCTTGGTGCGCTCCGCGACTTTGTTGAAGGCCAGCTGTCGAGTCGAATTCGTCGAGACGCGTAACGCGTCCGTTGTGGGTTGCCCCTTGGTAGGGAGAGAAGGTCACTCAAGTGGTCTTCCAGGAACCCCCTTAACTTTCAGCTGGCAGCGCGCAGTTGGAGCCATGGTCATTGCTGTTTGTGGGAAGCCTGAAGGAGTTGAGCAGCAGATTCGGTGACCGGTGCCAGCCTCTCTGAATCTCATGGTTCAGATTTCGTGACCGCGACCATGATAAACATGTCCTTTCATAGGGAACCCCTATTTCTTGTATTTTGGGCCGATGAATTCTTGGAGATCACTCCAGTCTTCGTAGCAGTTTGTGAACTTAGCAAGCCAAGAGGCTTGGGGAGCCTCACGGAACGGGCGGGCTGTCTTCTGGAACTCGGAATGGCCAAGGGGTGTTCAGGTGGCTTCTGCAAGCTTCCCCAGCCGATCAAATGCTCTCAGTTTGGATAAAGTGAGAACCTGGTGCTCAGCCCTTCGCCCGGTGGAGCAATTCCATGGCCCCACCTTCAGGGCTGGCACCGGCACGGACAGATTCGCCTCCACTGACCTGAGTCTCTGGGTGACCCTAACGAATGCACTCGCAAACGCGTCTGCCTCAAAATGGGCCCGCCTTCAAAAAGGTCGCCCTTTGCCCCTCACAGGAAGACACACCCAACATATGGTTCCCTGTGCAAGTAGCAGTGGATGAGGTCCCCAACCGTGCGAGGCCGCTTTGTATGTTGTGCAGACCATCTTTGCCTCCTTCGCCAAGCGCTCCTATTTTCTACTGCGGAATTTGGGCCTGGCCTGCAGCGGCTCAGCATTGCCAGCACAAGCTCTCATGAAAGCATCGCACGCTTGTTCCCTTTCTGTGGTGCTCAGAAAGCCTCCCCGTTGCTTGCGTAAACGACGTGCCCCTTGCACAACTGGTAGAGCCTCGTCGACGTGGTCCGCCTCCTTTGCTTTTGAAGGGTCCCAACTGTATTCTCCAGTACAGGGAGGTGATGTGGAGGGACTTTCAAGTGAGTGGTCTCATGTTGGCTTCCTGTTCACACGGGCAAACACGGACCCCCAGCTTGATATATCCACACGATTCCATGATCAAAATTGGAGATCCCTGCAAAGCGGTGGCCGGTTCCCTTTGCATCCGGAAAAGAGTTCCTTCCAGTTGGATATGGGGAAACCACTTTGTGTGGTAGATTCCTCTTGTTTCCCTCGGAAATGGTCCAAACGGAACACCCACAAGCCCGCAAGACCGCAGCCTTCCAGCCCCGGCTCTGGCGGCCCTGGCTTGGTGGTACTCTTGATGCTGTTCTGGGCGCTCACTATGGCATCACCCAGCTCGGCGCATTCCTGTGGGAATCCGGGAGGTTCCGACAAACGAGGGAGCCCCAAACCGGCCGGTGTCTTGAGCCTTATTATTACTCTTCGTTGGCAGGAAACCAAAAGGGCAATGACCATGTTTGGGAAACCCGCGAAGAAGGGTTCGACAAACAAAACACGATGCTTAAAAAGACACCAACACAAGAACAATGTCGAGAGCCTGCCCAAATCCAAATGCCCACCCAAACCGCCAAAAGCCGATTCAGCGAGATCTAAGAAACCTCCCCTGGCGACTTGCAAGGAACCTGTCCCTCATCTTTTGTTTAAACATGCAAGCATTGCTCAAGGTCTGACGCTCCTCGTCCGTGGGGGTCTCCACCGCCTCTACCGGCACCGCCAGCTTCTCCACCTTGGCCACCTGGCCGCTCGCTCGCAAAAGCGCAAACGGCCGCCCTGGAAAAAAAGCAATGCCGAGGGGTCCCAAAAAGTGTCTGGTCCCCTTGAGAACTGAGTGTGGGCCAAGATATTTGAGGGCTGCCCATGTTTGCAGTCGCCACAAACAAGTTGGAGCGCGCGGGGGTGCATAGTTTTTGTTGTCCGAATCAAGAGCATCTACACGAAGAGGAGCTGTTGCTTCCCAAAGTTGCTGTTGAAGCCATCCAAAAACTCTCCTGCCTTCGCTGGCCGTATATATGCAGAAGGAAAGCATGTGTGTTTGCCTCATATTGTGTTCATGTATGCATACAAATCGCGCTCTTGAAATGACATGTGCAGGGGGCCTTCTGCTTCATGGCTGGCTTCTTAAAATGCGTCGCCAATCATCCATTTCAATTCGCAAGCAGCAAATCCCTTCTGGTCGGGCCTCGGACTCAGCCTTGTCCACGTTCACCATCTCCTCTGCCAGGGCCTGGATGATACAAACCCGAAGCTCACTGACATGGGTTCAAATATTGACACAAAGGAGAGATGACGATCGATCCATCGGAAGACGCAACAGCAAGACGGCCCGACAGAGACATGCATTTCAAGGAAGCCTTAAAATACCAATCAAGACCGCCGCAGGAATTGGTGGTCGTGATTCCTTGACAGGCCCAAGCACAACAGCACGTTCACAAGTCGCAGAAACATGCAAAAAGGCATCACGCCAGCCCTTACGCCATCAGGCCAACATCCAAGACAACAGCTACCAAAAAATATGCGGGTCATGAGTGAACAACACCCTATTGCTGGTGGGCGTTTGGCCACTTTCCGGGAGACGTTCCTTGCGACAAACCCAAGGCAGGAAATGCGTATCGCACGGCAACCCTTTCCTCATAAATCTCCACCGCCGTTTGCTTCAGGTGCCAACACAGAAGCAACCATCCATCAGTGTCAAGGCCATCTAAGAACAGCAAGCAATACTGTAGCCCTCTGTGACTGTCTGTGACTTATGGAAACTTGGTTTAAGTACCACAAATCAGCCCTTCCTGAACGAAGGATAGTGAATGAGTACGTACATTGAACAACCAGGCAAAACATGGGAGCCTGGTATGGACCCTATAGCCGTCCAAGGCAACTGCGTCAGGCAAGAACTTTGTCGATTGGTCAGCTGATATCAGTTCGGTGTGCTATGGAGAATAAGCCGCAAGGTGTGTGCTAGTGCATTGTGAGTGGAGTTAGGCCCTGCCCAACAAACAAAAACTACAGTTAGCACCTCTTGGTGCCACCAATGAACTGTAGAATGAATTCTGATTGGCAAATCAACCGCATGGCCGAAAGCAAGTTGCGGAGCCACTTGACCCTTGAGACGCTCAATGGGAAAACGACTGGAGCCCAACAGGAAGAACCACACAACTCCTTGTTCAGCGTGGCTAGGGGGCAATCGAGGGGGGGTTGGGTCCCCCAGGTAAATATCTGTTCTTACGATTCTGGCTTGAACCAATGTGAGATGAGGAAAAGAACAAACACCACATCTGTTGGCTCCCTTTGGCTTATGCTTGGCGTTGTTGCGAGGGGCCATTGCGGACAACCCTTTGGTCAAACAGCTCCTGAGTTTTTTAGAGGCTTTGACACCAAAGTATTGTTGAACCACAAACAGAGGAGACATGTTTGAAAAAAGAACCGTCCACGGGCATGGCCTCCTTGCCCTTGATGAGCTTGTCCCCGTAAGTAGACGCCTGGGCCAGGGCAGCGGCCAAGCGGGCAAGCGACGTCTCGGGAGTTGGAAAACGGAAAGGCGGCAAATCAAGCGTACCTGGCTGATGCAGAGCTGTCACCCAAAGAAAAAAGGCAACATGTTGCATTGTGTTCACTGAACCAAAGAAAACGAACCAGCATGCACGCAGAGCAAACTCTGGGGCCGCTCAAATTGCACTATATACACCAACCTCTGCATTGTGTACGCTCCTTGAAGCCAGCCCTCGTGCGAACCGGCGTTTCTTCGCCCTGTAGCTTATAGAGGGGCAAAACAAGAAAAAACAAAGCCGTCCTGGGTCTTCCAAGGGCCTCGAAAACCAGGGTCCTCCTTGATGTTCTTGTCAATTTTACAGTTAACCACAGGCCCTTGGCCAAGATCCTCGAAAACCCTTGCGAGTCCATTTTGTCAACCGCAACTCGGAGGACTCCGCGGGCTGCGCCGATGTCGGCACGAAATGGAGACCCGCCTTGCGGTTCTTGCCAAGCTCATCCATGGACGTCTTGACGCGGCCTCTCACATCTGCCAAAGTGCAAGCTTTCACAAGCTGTCCAGTCTCTTAAAAAAAAAAAAAAGTGGACCTGAAAACTGACTTTCCACAAAGCCGTCTCACGTTGAAGGACCTCTTGTTCTTGTCACCACTCGGGGCCTTCCTGAAAGTAAGGCCTCACGGCCCCTCTCTCTCCTGGCCCTGCCCGGTGAAGTGCCTTGCAGCTTCTGCATCGCACCGCTCGCTGCGGGCCCCTGCGTATCGAATCGCTGAGACCAACCCACTATCCAAAGAGAGGGATCATCTCTCCAAATCACGCCCCAGTTGAATCCGATCTCCAAGCTGGCAAGTTGTGAAACCCTTTGCCGGCTAAGGCTCCCGAATGTGTCCTTGTACACCTTCCACCAAATTGCAGCGCACTTGCCCCTTGCTCAACTTGGCCGAAGTTTCAGATGCACCTCAAAGCCCTTGCAAATGTTGGTTCGAGGATGAGGGAACTAAGCCTGCCGTCTTTGCTGGTCCCTTTTAGCACACAACCAACCGGTTGGGAGGGCTCTTAATTTCGACACAATCGGGCGCCAGAAAAAGAAAAAAAAACTGAGCTGGGCATGATCCCACAGTACGAATGAATCCGGCATTTCCACCAAAGTCAAGCTCAAATCATGGTGACGGTTCCCTTTACATTCTTGGCCATATCAGGTGTGCTCAAACTCTGTGAAAATGCCGGCTTTGACAACTGCCCAGCCAAAGGGGCCCCATGCAGTTTGACCATGGCCTGTACAAAGAGCCTGGAACTACAAGGTTAACCTATGGGCCCCCGGTGGGCCATGCCAACAGATCAAGAATTGCGTGGTATGCGGTTTGCTTGTTAGGTGGGAAAGTGTCATTGGCCAGCAAGCTTCGGGAAAGGGTCACACCAATGTAGTTCACCAATGGCGATCCGGGGTTGACTCTAAAATAAGCAAACATCCATATGGAACCCAAAACGCCCTGATATAGATGAATCTCCTTTTGGGGGACACCTTTTGTGGGGTTCGTGGCTCGCCTTGGCATCCTTCTGCTTGGCCGTCATCAGCTTTCGGGCCTGGTGCCGCCATTTTGGTGGGCTGATTCCGAGATTGAGCGCTTGTACCCAACAAAAACACTGTAGTAGTGGAAAAATCCCACGTCTTTCGCTGACAATGGAATTTCAGTCTTGTTTGCTTGGGATGATTTCCTGAGCTGTTGATGAAACGGATTGGCCAGTTTGATTTCTCGTGATCCCCGAAAAGACTGCTAGCACAAAGGAACCGGACCGAATCCCTTCATAACCCAAGAGAAAGGAGCCTCGAAATCCTCCTGCTTGTTGAATTCATTTCTTGAACCCTGATGAAAACCTGGGTCATTCACGAGTCCACATGCAAAAGGCATCACTGAGGTGGACGTGACTGTGGGACAACCCAAGAAGGGCATCCTTTACCAAGAGGCCTTGTGGACGTATACGCAACCTTGCCACCCAAGGATAAACATCAAGCGTGACATCTGACTCGAAGCGGATATGGGTTCTTCACAATATGTAATTGAGCGGCCCGATAGGTGTTCCCATCTAGCACACACACCCGGCAAGTTTGCAATATTTGAGGTCGGAAATACTGACATAGAACCACAAAGGGAGCTGGAGGGCGTTTGGGGTGTGTGACCTGCTGCACAGTCCATTATATGAATATGTATATATATATATGTATGTGATATACATACAGTATTAGTAACATTTTGTTTGAAGAAATAGTACCAGAAACAGCAATACAAATAATGATGATAATGACAATCAAAAATAACACTTGACAACAGTAATCAGAATCATAATAATGATAATAAGTGCGTGTGTGTGTGTAGTGTAATGGCATGTCCTCTGAGGTAAAGTGTTATGATGCCGTGCAATGTGATGTTGTTTGACGTGATGTGACTCGTCATATGATGTAGCGTGGTGTTGATGAAAAGTGCAGCGTATTGTAATGTAATGTAATGAGATGGCAGGCTACATGCAACACTCGCCACAAAAGACATGAAAGATCTCGCCTCCGCCAGGGATGCAGTGGCTTCCTTCTCGAGGTCACCCACCTGCAGGAAGACCAAAAGACAGCCAGTGGACAGATATGGGCGCGTTTCGAAATTCAGGAACCCCCTAACATGGATGGCTTCCTTTGGATTCCCAGTAAAAGCAACCAAAAGGGCGTTCTCAAACAAAACTTATCGGTTGGTTTCCGGAGTGGCCTTCTGGTCACAAGGTTTGGTCGAATCGTGAATTACAATGTGAGCCAGCGCAAAGGACCCCTAAGGTGGCGCAAAATCAGCCCGGAATGGAGAAGAGCCAGGCAACTGCTTGTTCTCCAAGAAACAGTGCCATTTTCCCCACGAGCATCCAAAGTCCAGTTTTGTTCTCACTCCTCGAGGCAACACACTCCGCAGTTCAAGGCATTTGTTCAAACAACCAGACCTTCGCCCCCTTTAGAAGGCCTACTACCAGGAGGTTGATGCAACAGAAGTGGTCTAAACACGTTTACAAGAACAGGGTCGGCGCAGGGCGCAAGTCCCACAAAAGCGGCAGCCTTCTCCATGGCTTCCTTGATTGACTCCTCCGTCACCTGAATAACCAACACGGCTCGGGGCAAACCTTTGGGGTGCTGCAACTCGAACTGGGGCAGCACTGTTTGGCTGGAAAATCAAGCCAGGGTAGATCACATTGTGAGGAACGATCCCCGACTGGGAATCAACATCCAACTTGGGTGGCTCGGTGCCTTTAGGCTGCCGGTCAGCATAAGCCCTCCCCAAGCTCGCCAAATCATGTTATGGTTCTTCGGCCGGTAGCTCAAAGCAAAGGCAAGCAACTGGTACGATTGCAACAGGTGTGTGTGTGTGTGGGTTCGGGTGCTCTGGTCATTTGTGCCAAGTGCGAGTCAGTCGCCAAAGATCGCAAAACGGCAACGGCAATGTATCAGGGTGCCTTTAACGTGGCATATTAGGCGCCATTTTCCAATAACAGAATTGCTCTCTCAGGGGATTCTAGAAGAGAAGTTTCACCCAAGAACTGGTCCAGTTCAAATATTGGTAAAAGCGGGTGCTTGGGGGTCGCAAGGTACACCCTGAGTGTTTTTGCCTTTTCCCAAGAACCTGGGTGTCAACAGGTACACCCTGGGCGGCCCTGGCAGTGTTCAAGTCCTCCGAGAACACTTTCGCCACCTGCTGAGGCAGGAGGTGGGTTGACAAAAGCGCGGGCCTTTGGGCGGATAAGCTAACACAGAGTCCCACAAGCATCACGAATGAAAAGTGAACGATGCATTTGTAGGATTGCTGAAGATGTATTTATATTGCCTGAACATGATGGGTAAGCACTTCACATGTCTGGAATGAACATGAAGACCCTGATATGCTGAGCCGTGATTGACCCCCAATTATTTATCACATGGGATTCCCGAGGAATCCCCCAAAACCACAACTGACACAACTGATTAAATGTGGTTGATCAATCAATGCGGCACAAGATGCGTCCGTTTCGGGTCCCGAGAAGGCCCCTATAGTTGGCAAGAGATGTGCGGGACTGGAAGCACCATCTTTTCGCATATCCACAAAGAAGCACCAAGCACCTCGAAACCAGACGCCGTTTGATGTGTTTCCCCAATCAGCGGGACACAAATAATATAGCTCTCCCATTTGATTGACAAGTTGGCTCCCTGGGCCCATGGGACTGTCCCCCAGAAATCCCCCAGCCCTCCTTAAAAAGAAACACGTGCCAGAATCAAGTGGTCAAACGCTAAGCCAAAAAGAGCAGACAGGAGCCTCTTTAAAGAAGGCCTCTTTCATTTCGAGAAAAACCACGTCAATAAGTAACCCTCTCTTCGCTTGCACGACTCACAAACTCAAAGGACTCCCCTGCACAACCTGGAACCCAAACAGGGGCCTTTTGTTAAAGTTTGCTCTATGCATGAGTGTCCGGGCTCCATATTAATGGGGATTAAACCCACCTGCGCCACATGGACGAATCCCTATGAATAGTGGGGTACATCCAGGTGCTCTTCCATTCGCAGTCCGACTCCCATGCAGCTGGCCTCTGCGTGTGCCTTCACCTTCTGCTCCGCCGCAGTGATGGCTTCCACCACCTCGTATCGAGATGGCAAGGTGCCCAGGGGTCGAATTGACTTGTCCCCTGCAAGAATGAGTCCTCTTAGAAGGCGATCTCTGAAAGCAAGTTGTGTCTGGTTCCAGGTCAAGCTTCCCAGTACTCAAATGTCCTTTTGTGAGGACCTACTATGGAAATTCATGCTTTATAGCTGCCCATCTTTAGTCGACTGTAAACATGCAACATCCAAAAAGTATCGCCCAGCTACGGCAAGTGAATCATTCAGCGTGATTCGGAACGCAGAAGAACACCAGCTGGGAACCCATGGTTTGCTTCTGTAATCACTTGGAATTTGTGTTTCTCACAGTCATATGAGCCATGGTCAACATGTGTGTGGGCATTCGAGACTAAGTCATTTCCCGAGGTTGTGGGAAAATTAGGAAGCATGGCCTTCCCAAATTGACCAGACCACTGGATCAAATTCCTCCAATGTTCGGAGGCGAATGATCTGAACTCCCCCGCAAAACCTGAAGCTCGAACTCGGAACGCCAAGCGGCGACAAGTTGTTCATCTTAACCCTTTGATTCATCTTAACCCTCTGGCAGGGGTTCATGATGGATGTCCCTGATAGTGCAAGGGATCAAGGTCAACTCAGCGAGAGACCATGCTATGGTTTTTGGTTGGTTTGAAGTACATGACACATGCACGTAAATGTGCATGTGTCAAAGGGGATTCCTTGGTAGGACGGAAACCCAACTTTCCACAACCATGGGTACCTGATCTACCTTCCATGAAACACACTCAACAATACGATCTGTGTTATGCTTTCCTAGGAAAACATATTCGCCCACATTGCTACACTGCCCAAAAGGTACCCTCATTGAGGTGGTGATGGTTGGCTTTAGCCCCACTTTCATTGCAACCGCCCTGCCCCCATAGAACACCTTCTTGGCAACATGTGACAACCCGGACAGTGGCTCCAATCCCTAAATTCTGCCTGGTGCCCCCTGCATGCCCGGCCCATGCACCTCCGCCAACAGAGCATTCAGTTTCCTCTCGGCGGTTTCCTTCTTGAAGTCGGCAATCTTCTTGCCGCAGTTCTGGCCGCGCGAACCAAGCGGGCAAAAAGCGCTGTAGGGGGCCTCGGCAGAATTTGCAGGGTCAAATTCCTTAGGAAAGGGCCTGATCGCAGTGGCATCTAGCTGTACCACGAAGTGGCATGAAGAGCCCTAGATCACGCAGTCGCAGATGGAATGAGAATTGCCAAGAAATAACAAATTCCCCTTCGGGTAGGGAAGCACTGCGTGTCCCTCAGGAAAAGAATATATAATATGTTTCTAAACACACGTACAATTCTCCGATAGCCACAACGTAAGTCAGCCCCCCAGTTCAGGGGCATAGTTTCAGTGTTTTCTTAACAGATCGGCAACCTTACCAATGGACAAGTGACGCGTTGGTGAAATCAGTGATCTCCTACATCGCATCCATGGCTTGCTAGCGCTTGCAGGTGAGCACACAATAGAAACGCCACAGGGGCCAATGCGCTCTGAAAAACATGAGTCTTTCAGTCCAAGGAGTCGATCATTATATCGCTGCCAACGTCTAGGTGAAGGCAGGAAGATTAATCCTGCTCAACTGCCCCTTAAGTTGGACATCGGGCATGCGAGTATGTCAGAATCGGGGCAAAAAAAAGAGCGTTCCTCTTGGTGTCCCTTCAAAACAAGCCTAAAAATAGAACCGTATTCGCCCACCAAAAAGCCAGGTGCCAGACTCTCAAGGAAAGACAAAGGAGCATGGTGCCAGAAACCTGACGAAGAAACCAAACCAGGAACCTCCCGTGCATCCCACCACATCTTCTGGGGTCACATCCTGCACATCCTGCCTCCACCCGCAGGCCAAGCTGCGACAGCTGATTGAGCGTCTTCTCCTGCAAGTCCTGGACAGAGTTGGGGCATTGCCAGAAACTCTCTTGGGAGTCGTTACTCTCTGCAGCGACTGGCTGCAAAATACGCTCGAACAGCTAGTCGTGATGTCCTTGCAGGAAAACTTGCACGAGTCGCTGTTGAAACAGTACTGGTTGTGCAGAAACGCTTATGTCAAGCAACCACGCCCTCGTCGACACCAAATGAGAGAAGCTGTACACAGGGCGATTTGAGCAATTGCTTTCCCAGTGCTTGTTCACTCGTTTGAATCAATAGGTGCAACCCTGCTGGAAACTGCAGACAGGCCAGCCGCTGTTCGAGAACTCCGAGCCTTGAATGGAGCTTCATAGCTGCTTGACAGGGCATGGGACATTGTAGTGGGTCGAACCCCATTACCCCCCCCCTACCACCATCACCTAACAGCTAACAGAAATGTTGCCAGTTGCTGAAATGATCTCAAATGGATATGCGCAAAAACAACAACGCTTGGACTCGTGTGGGGTCGGTTGGGGAACTTGACTTTGTCAGTCTTGCAATCTTCAGGGGATCAATTCTGGCTGGTGCTGTTGCATCTCTCTCTCTCTCTCTCTCTCTCTTTCTCTCCCATGCAAGTGCTCACTTTGGGATGTTCGGCTACTGTCCCACTGGCTAAGCTGGAAGCTTCAAACATATGTGAAAGACTACATCTCTTTCAATGCGGTCCTCCGGAAGCTTCACCGATTCAAAAGGTTGGGTCACGGAAGGCACGCGCACGAGTGGGCACTCCTTGGGGAACTTCTGCTTCACCTCCGCCTGCTTGGTGCGGACAAGAGTCCGTGCCTGGCAGGTGGATTTCGTAACGGACGAAGATCTGCTCCCACGGGATGCGGGGAAATTGCGCTGGCCACATGTGAGCGGCGAGTCTCGTCGAGATGGCGTTGGGTTGTCAACCCAAACTGGTTCTAATGCTGATCAGGTTCCCAGCATCTGGAGAATTCAGGTTTGCACAACCCGCACTAGAATCTCTGCTCAACCAAAGGCTTACTAAATTGGCAAGAACGGTCATGTAGAGATGCTTTCAAACTTGCAGGACGCAACATGAAACCAACCGTCTGGAGTCTGTGGAGGGTTCACTTGGACGTGCTTGTTTTCTGGGGCAAGGAGCATCTCAAGGAGTTCAAGCCAATTCAAAAGGCATTCATTTCTCAAATTGTCAAAGGTTCAAAATCCAACCCAATTGCAGTCCACCAGTGTAAGGGTCCGTGGTGGAAAGCTCTTAAAGGTGTTTTTCCATTTCCAATTGTTTCCAGCCATGGAAAACGGCCGAATTAGATAGCCATCTTGCGATACAACTGCTTGCGAACCGGGCTACAAATGGAGCGCAGACGTGCTCGCCTGTGCTCGCGTCGCGCGGGCAGTGATCTCCCTGCCTGGTTCAGCGCGGCATCTGCTTTGGCCTCAGAGGAGAACCATCCAAATGTGAGCCATTCAAAAGAATGTATGTCGGCTTCGGGCCTCTCGTTGTGTCATTTGAGGCGTTTGACAGTATATAATTGGTTGCGCTTCTTTTGGGGACCTGTTTTTGCAGGTGGCAGTTTGAACAACTAGCGACTTCTTTAAACAAACAAGTTTAAACACAAATCATGATCAAAACGGCCAGCTACAAGGGGTCAATTCCTCCTCTAAACACGCCTCATGTCCTCCTCCAGCCTACTTCTTGGGCATAGTGTGAACTTCTGAAACTGGAGCTGTCTTTGCCCTGGAAAACAATGTCTTTCAGAATGGATGCACAGAAGCGCCTCTTGGTTGTCCGCGGAGTGTTGGCAGCAACAAATCCCGCCCCCAAACATCTGCGAAGATCAACTCAACACTGCATCAAATTCACAACCTGAATACAATGCATGGATCATAAACTCGGAACCTCAAAACAACGCCAAAGCACCACAAAACCCACCCCCAAGATTGGGCATCTCCCAGGGCCCCGGCCGCCGACGCCTCGCAGTCCCCGATGGCCTGGGCGGACTCCTCTGGCGGCAGCACCTGCAACACGTCAGTTCGGCCAGCCGTAGGACTTGCAGAAAGTTGGGGAAAGCAAACTGCGGATTCTCCGGGAGCCAAAGGCAAGTGGGACCCTAAGTGACAAACGGGGAATGGAAATGCACGGGCAAAACTGGTCCAATTTCAACTTGGGATACCCCTCCCCTATCAACCAGAAGCTTTATATTCCTGGGTTCCGTTGTTCAATCAACTTCGGATACATCTGGAGGACCATACTTCTCAATCCAAGGACTCTCCCTACGCACTGCACCAATTCCTCGACACCCAACGGTCCATACTACAATCGTCCCTGACGGGCGCAAGCCGCAAGCCCTTCCGTCCGAAAACGGCTGCCTCGATGCCCTTGAGGAACGGCATCTCGGCGTCCTGGCACAAGCCCAGCGCCTCTTCGGCGGCCGCCACCTGAGACCCGAGCGGCTTCACGGCTTCACGGCCACCCCACCGTCCCCACCCCCCCCGATTTTGGGGGCAGTCATACCGTAAGGAGTTCTTAACATGCAGAGCTGGAACACCATTTGGCTTTCCTGGGTCTATGGTTGTAAACAGAATGGTTGACACTAGCTGGTGCAGTGGAAAAAGTACCAGTGACAAGTAAAACAGCAACACCAGGCTTACACACTGGTCACGGCCATAACACAGTAGGCAAGGAAGGTACCCAAAACCACCCAAGGATTTAAGGGCGGCAGCTTTCTATTTCGAGATATGAATGCTCCGTTGAATCATCCAAATGTTGGTGTTGGCTCGCATCGGGAAGACCGGGTCTGTGTACATGTCCATCATAGTGTTTCTCGAGTGGAGGGCCGTTGTCATTCCTTTTTGGCAAACGATGACGGGTATTGAAACGGTTGCTTCTGCTGGAGCCAACAAGCCGAACATTTCTCACTCACCTCATGTGCGTCAATCCCATGCCAGAATGTCCATGAAAACCATGGTATCTCCCTCTCTGTCCAGAAGTTGTCCAATCCACAGAAACTGGCCCCTAATGAATGAGCAAGGGGGGGCCACCGTAAGCAAGCCGCTAGAACCATTTGTTTGTGCTGAGTACTAGTGAAACCAGCGCTACGGACCAAAACCGTGAGGCCTTCTCGGTGATGGTCGCCGCCATGGTCTGCGCTGAGATGCCTCACCGCTGGGCAAAGGCAGTTGAGTGTCCTACAAAGGGGCTTCCTTTTGGACGGAGTTCAAATGAGAACCCAAAGGAACGCACGTTGGTGTCCTGAAATTCAGAGATGTGTCCTTTTGGATCCAGCTGTATGAACCGCAACAAATGCAGGCGGTCGCTGCTTTGGTAAGTCAAGGGACATCCACTGAACTGGGCAACCCCCCTAGCCCGCTCCCAGGCCTTGCTTCTGAACCTTCATGGTGCTCACCACAGTCTGGCAAGCCGCGGCACACAAGTGAAGCCGAGTTGAGCGGGACCTGCTTGTTCAACCAAAGAGAAGTGGTCACGACTCCAGGACTACCGGAATGACAATCGCAGCAGCCCAACAACTCTCGTGTGGGGGGGGGGGGTGTGCAAATTGGTTGAGTCTGTTGGTTTACGGAATGGTGAAGCAGTGAGCCAGAATGCCGTGAACAGCCAACGCTTGGAAGCACTGAAATCATGAGAACCCTGTGTTCGGGTCCTTGTTGGGGTAACAAAAAATTGACCCCCATTGCGGAAAACGTCCGCAGCCACCAAGGGCAACTTACAACACGCCGTGCGCAAGTTCTCAAATGAGGACCCCTGTTGTTTGTGGAACAACCAATCACCTGTGCAGGTCCCTCAACCTAAGAAGCCCTAAGTTTGGAAAACCCAGTCTGTGATTTCTGCTTGGATATCAAGTTGCTTGACGGGCGTGAGGTGCAGGCCTTCTGCACGGGGTCTTTGAAACTTTAGCAAAGACATCGGAAACCATGAGTCGCAAAGAACTGCGTCAATCATATGGGTGAGAGTGCTAGTATGACCCACTCGTTTCTCGAGGGCCCTGAACACATATCGCTTGCTTGGCCTCTGCATGTTCAGCAAAAGCCTGAAGCGGCCTCCACGCCCCTTCACATTGCGTCTAAAGGGGCAACCGTGTATGGGGCGAGTATCCCTGTATTTGCCAAATACACAACATCTATGGAAGGTCAAAGTGTAAATATTCTCCCCAAACCCCAACCAAAAGGGGGCATCATGTTG